ACTACTAACAGCCTGCTGTTGACTGGAAGCCTTACTGATAAACAAAAACAGTCAATTAACACATATTTTGTATGTTATGTGTATTGTATACTGTATTGTTATCATAAAGCGAGTTAGAGAAATACGTTATTAAGAAAGTCATGGGGTGCCTGGGTGGTTCAGTCGGTTAAATGTCCAACTTAGGTTCAGGTCATGATCTCACTGCTTGTGAGTTCAAGCCCTGCTTTGGGCTCTGTGCTGACAGCGCAGAGCCTGGAGCCTGCTTCAGATTCTTTGTCTCCCTCTCTCTCTGTCCCTCCCCTGCTTGCATGTGATCTGGCTATCTCTCTCTCAAATATAAAAATTAAAAAAAAAAATGTTGTAAGGAAGAGAAAATACATTTACAGTGTTGGGCTGTATTTACTGAAAAAAACAAAAAACAAACAAACAAAAAACACAAAACAATGTGTGTAAATGTACCTGCACAGTTCAAACCTGTGTTGTTCAAGGGTTAAGTGCACCTTCTCTGAAAGCTTGCCTTCATAGGTGTCTATATGAATTCTTTTCTTGTGCTGGCTTTGGTAACTATGAATCACAAATTTTAAACGGTCCTAACATCTAACTGCCTCTTTCCCACTCCCACACTTTGCCCTTTCCCAACCCCTCATTTTTTATTTTTTTTACATTTATTATTATTATTTTTTAGCAATTTCTATGCCCAACATGGGGCTCGAACTCACAACCCTGAGATCAAGAGTCACCAGCTAGGAGCCCCATTCCCCTCCACCCCTCTCTTTTTTAAACCAAGAGATAAGATGGGCTGGGATGATTTGTACATCTCTTTTCCTCCATCCACCTTCTAGGGTGATATGTTAATTGGAAATAAAATGACAAAGGGCAGAAAGTCAAGGAGGGGATCACTGGATATGCTCCTTTACAAACTAAGATAATTAGTCTGTGAAAGTTTATAGTTGCGTGGGCACAGTTAAGAACTCTAGGTCAATGAAAAGAGATGTGAATTATAATCAATACTAGAGTCTTCATTTAAATTCTGCTGTACTTCCCGCAGCGGTTAGCAGGCCAAATGAAATAACCCCACACGGAATATCTGCATAGCAACCTTATCGCTGGTTTCATTTTATTTTCCTACAAATTCCACCTCTGTCTTGATCTCTTTATTTTGTGCAAGCATTTCTGAATGTATCTCTGATCAGCCATTTTAAAATATTTTTGGAACAAACATACACAAACATTTCTCATATTACTGCCCAGACACACACACATACACACACACGCACACACACACACACACATACACACAACTCCAGTATCAACCCTCCTTGGTTCATATTTCAAAACCCAGGGCTAGAGACTCCTGAATGGTTAAGAATGCCAAGGATTCAAAATATTTTAAGTAAATTGAAAAAAACCTGTTGTGCTCACTTCCTACTTCACAAATTGCCTATGTTCCACTGTTCTATATGAAACATACCTCTTTTACGCTGTAAGGATACCCTGTAGGATCCACTGTTTTAAAAAAACAAAAAAACAAAAAAAAAACCAGACATTCTCTCTCATACTATTCAGGCTGTCTCCAGTAAATGTTTGGCTTGTATGTCAAAGAAGGCTCTGTATGTAAAAAGAAAGGAGATGTGTCTTGTGCTCAAAAAACAGCCACAGAAGCACTCTGTTGAATAGCAAAAGAACCCCATGAGCTCCAATTTTAGGGTTTATATTACTAGTGATTAACTGTGCCTCTAATCATTTCCACCTCAAATAAATGCGGGGAAATTAGAAAGGAATACACTTGCTGTTTTTCAGCCTTTATCCAGATGTGGGTTTTTATGGGAGAGATAAGAGTCCACAAAAAGCCATTTCAAAGCTATCAGAGGTGATGATCACCACGAAAAGGTTACTACATTTAGTAACGAAAACTTTCTGTCAAGTATGTTCTTAAAGTTGAGTATCACAAATTCTAATTTCTTCTTTCCTCCCTCTCTCCCTTTCCTTCACCTTCCTTCCTTCCCTCCTTTTCTCTCCTTCCTTCCCTCTCTCCTTCTTTCCTCCTTCCCCTCTCCTTCCTTCCTTCCTTCCTTCCTTCCTTCCTTCCTTCCTTCCTTCCTTCCCTTCCCCCCTCCTTTCCTTCCTTCCTTTTTCTTTCTTTACTGAAAAAGGAGGGGATTATAAATACCAATCAAGACCTGGAGAAGCAGTTGAGAGATGAACCCTGGGCCAGAGATGTCACCCCAGGACCCTCAGGGGTAAGAAGTAGCTGGTGAAGAACCTCAGCCAGGAGCTACACCTTGTAAATGGGTGTGTTTTATCTTGGTCTCAAAGCAGTCTGGAAAAACCAGATGCCTGGTAAGAAAAATCACTGTCAGAATTTCCAGGATCCAAGATGAGGTCAGGATATCACAGGGCACAATCCTTCTCTACCCTTATCCAGAGCCAGAATCTTGGACTGGATTCAAGAGGGCAGAGAGGTCTCCAAGATCAAAGTCTGCTGAGAATAAGAGCCCAACTGGAGGTAGGTCAGACCCACCTGGCTGGGCAACTCCCGAACTACAGAAGGGGAAGGTCAAGAATGTCCTTGAATGGTAGGTATAGCTCTACGGAGGCCTTCGGCAGGGCTGACAACGGAGCCCAAGGGTAGAACTGTCATCAGGACCTCTGCAGCCCCAGAAATCACCAGGAACTCATTCTTGGGCAGCTTCCCCTCACAAAGGCAAGAAGATCCCAAGCAAGTAGTGAGGCAGCTGGGGAGGAACACCATGTTAGGACAACAGGTTCGAGATCTGGCTCCACCAACTTACAAGCTGTGTAACTTGGGCCACAATTTTAACCTCTCCCCTCAGGGCAAAAGGCTTGGATGAGATGCCTTCAAGCTCCCTTCTAATGCTCAAGATGCTGTGATAATCTCTGAGCCTTGGTATCCTCAACTTTAAAATGGGCTCATATGACCATTACATTAGCTCCTACAGCTGGCCAGGCCTTCCTCACTTTTTATGCTAAGTGCATCTGTAAAACAGGGATGGAAGAAACTAGGGGGGAAGACAATTAAGACCTCGGCTACCGGTTTCTTTTTCAAGTTCATGGTGTCTCCAAGAGCTGCCAGTCCAGTAGCCTACCGTGAAAGAAATGGGGTGATTCTTTTCACTCTAAGCTTATACAAAATTATTGTTCATGAAATAATTCTAGAGGGGCGCCTGGGTGGCTCAGTCAGTTAAGCGTCCGACTTCGGCTCAGGTCATGTTCTCACGGTTCGTGGGTTCGAGCCCCACGTCGGGCTCTGTGCTGGCAGCTCAGAGCCTGGAGCCTGCTTCGGATTCTGGGTCTCCCTCTCTCTCTGCCCCTCCCTCATTCACACTCTGTCTCTCTCCCTCTCTCTCAAAAAATAAACATTAAAAAAATTTTTTTAGAAAGAAATAATTCTACAAATCAAAATAAAAGTCACGCATAATGACTTATACCAACCTATCCTCCCCCTGGCCCCCATTTTCCAGGTTTTATCCAGCCTTCGTTTTTCTGCACACGTGGGTTTTTCTGTAGGTATGAAAATTAATTCAGGGATAGCAGTTGAATGGCATTTGAGTCAGATTTATGAAAACAGCATTGTTCCTGTTTTTAGGGTATTTTCAGAGAGAAGAGATTAAAATCTTCTGTGGCTTTTTAATCAAAGCCCCAGAATAGTTCTCTGGTACACAGACTGATTTTGGCTTGATTAAATAAGAAATATTGGCAGAGGAAAAAATATTTTTAATTATCACTGAAACAGTTATCAGCCATGCCATCACGCTACGCACCCTATTA